GGGCTGAGCTGGGCTGGCTGGAGCCTGGGCAGAGCGTGGGGAGCACCCAAGTGGGGACAGAGGGACATCGTGTGCAGCAGCGAGAAGCCTGCAGAGGTATGAGGAGGGGGGAGGTGGCTCAGTGTGGAGCTGCCCACCTGGCTGAGGGGGTCTGGGCTGAGTTTATTCAGGAGACCTGTAATTTCCCAGCCTCCTTGGGTGATGAAGAGCCAGCGTGGCGGTTCTGGGGGGAGCCTCTCTGGAATGCGAAAAATTGGAGGCTTTTTCTTGCCAGGAGGATTCAAAAGCCCAGGCTGGAGATCAGCGTCCTGGCCAAGGGTCCTTGTGTGTGATGGGGATGGGGCCTGGGTGACAGAAGTACACTCCAGAAAGATGGGCCCTGAGATAGGTGTGGGGTCAGTTTCTGTGAGACCTGCTCGGAGACTAGACCAGACCTGACCATTCCCACCCACCATCCTGGCTTCCCAGAGCCAGCCTGGGACAGAACAGGGGGCGAGACCTGTGTTTCTTGTGAGTCCAAAGGTGGCTCTGTCCAGAGTCATTCATTAGGCTCTGCTGTTGGGTCAACAATGCCAGCCTCTGGCCCAGCCTATCCCCCTTGCTGAGACCACAGGCCCGTCCACCCTAGTGGGCAAGAACAGACCAGCCAGAAAAGGTGGGCCAATGAATAGTGGTTGGATAGGCGCTCTAGGGAGGGAGCCCCAGTAGGGAGATTTCCTAGGGCAGGCTTCCCGGAAGAGGGGCCTTCGGCTAGGCTGACAACAGCCATTACTGAGTGCTAGGCCATATAGTCAGGGCTTACAAAAAAATGACTTACACTGGTCCCCACAATACACATGGAGGAGGTAGGGACTTTTGCCACCAGTTTACAAGACAAGGCAAAGCCCAGAGGGGTTAAGGGAGATGTCCTAGGTCCTCTGCCAAGAGGCACAGCCTGGAGTCAAACCCAAGTCTGACTCACAACACCAGGTCTTGAAAAATGAAGACTTTTTTGGTTTGGGTAATATATTCCCCCTATGAACCAAAACATTTTCAATGCATGAAATGTGAAAAACCAAAAACACAAAGCGGAAAAGGCAATTCAGGGGCGAGTTCAAGCAATTTACCCCTCAGAGTGGAGAGCCTCTGCTGATGTGTTCTGGGCGTGTGTGCTGGAGCTGGCGTCATCACCCCTCCGCAGTAATGGCTCAGGAACTTGCCTGCCCATGAACATGTGGGTGGGATTCCACAGCAGGTGTGGGGGCGAGGTAGGAACGGAGGCTTCCTGTCCTGCACAGGAACATGGTGCTGCTCTGGGGGCTCCTGGTGCTCAGCTTGTCCTGCCTGCGAGGCCCCTGCTCAGTGGTGAGCTTTGGCTGCAGTCTGGGTGGGACAGGGAGGAGGCTGCGGGAGAGGCCAGGGGTCTGGGGGAGAAGGGGATGGGGGCTGGCTCAAGGGAGGGTTTGGCTTTAGGGGTTCCCCCTCCTTTCCTCATGCCTTTTTCAACAGTTCTCTCCTGTGGGCGCCATGGAACCCTTGGGCCAGCAGGTACTGGGGAGTGAGAGGCATAATGGGGAGGAAAGCCCCAAGGGGCCTCGCCTGTGGCTTGTGCAGGGTGGGGGGCCTTGTGCAGGAAGGGTTGCTCTCCATCTGCTTCCTTTCTTCAGTTAATGAGCGGGCAGACCCAGGAGAAACTGCCCCCACTTTTCCTCCTCAAGTTGGGCAAACAGGTACAACCAGGTGGGGCTGGGGAAGAGTGGGCGGGGCCTGAGGGAGGAGGGCCAGTCAGCAGGGGCGAGGAGATGGTGGGAAGGAGAATGACTGTGAGGCTGAGGCCTGAAGGGAAAGGGTGGGAGGGACCTGAGGAAGGGACCTAATCCCCAGAATGCCATTGCCCATGTGACTCTCCCTCTCGTGTCTGGACCGAGACAAAGCCCTGTTGTTCCTGGCATGGGGGCTTTGAAGATCTTCAGCCCAGAACCTGGAGCTGACCCCTTGATCCCACTGACTACCAATCTGTCCCTGCAGGAGCTGGGGGGCAAGACTGCCTGGAAGAAGGCCCCAGGAGACTGCAAGGAGGCTCCAACCCCGGAGCAGACCCACAGGCTGGCCCAGGCCATGATGGCATTCACGACAGATCTGTTTTCCTTGGTGGCCCAAAACTCCACCAGGCCCAACCTCATCCTATCGCCCCTGAGTGTGGCCCTGGCACTGTCTCACCTGGCACTAGGTACTGTGGCAGCACCTGTCCAGGCCAGTAGGCACTTGCTAACCCGGAGTTTACTAGTGGGTGCTTCCTCCATCAAGGTCACCTGGATGTTTGGTAAAAAGGCAGACTCCAGTCTCTGTGAGTCAGAGTCCTAAGGACTGGGCCCAGGATATGCTTCTGGTGATTTTTATGCAAGAGTTTGATAACTACAATGTCCTCTTTGGACTGGAGGGTCTCACTGTGGGATACTGAGGTCCAAAAGAGGGAAGGCACTGAGGTGAGGCCACCCAGACTGGCAGCAGCAGAGATGGAAGTAGAAAATGGGAGTCCTGTACCTGAGTCCAGTTCAGGATATGGGAGGAGAAAGTGCGATCTGGTGAGCATGCTCACTGTAGGTATTCAAGAGGGGCTGGTGTGGGCAGTGGGGGTGTGAGCCCTGACTACGTGGCACCTGCCAGCCTGGACCACAGCTGCTGTGTCCCTCCAGGTGCTCAGAATCAAACGCTGCAGAGGCTGCAGCAGGTGCTGCATGCAGATTCGGGGCCCTGCCTCCCTCACCTGCTCAGCCGCCTCTGCCAGGACCTGGGTCCTGGGGCATTCCGACTGGCTGCCAGAATGTACCTGCAGAAAGGTAGGTGCTGGTGGCAGGGAGCTCTGTAGGGAGCACCGTGGGGTGGATGGCGGTGAAGGGAATGGGCCTGGCCTCAGGCAGCCAGTCAGCACAGCTGGCTCTGGAGCCCGAGCCCTGGTAATAGCTCATGGGCCCTTCTGTGCAGGATTCCCCATCAAAGAGGACTTCATGGAGCAGTCAGAGCAGCTCTTTGGTGCAAAGCCTGTGAGCCTGACGGGGAGGAAGGAGGATGACCTGGCGAACATCAACCAATGGGTGAAGGAGGCCACAGAGGGGAAGATTGAGGATTTCCTCTCAGACCTGTCAGATGGCACAGTGTTGCTTCTGCTCAACGCCATCCACTTCCAGGGTGCGCTCCCCCCTTCTGAGGTTCCTGCTGTGCAGTCCCTACCCCTGCCCTGTAGGCTGAGTGGGGCTGTGCAAGCTTTGTTCTGAGGGTCCCTCTTCCTCCTCGGGGCTGGGCCAGGAGGCAGTGGGGAGAGTAGGAGGCAGGTAAGCGGTGTGGCAGGGAGTGGGCCCAGGAACTGCACGGGGCTGTCGTGGAGAGAGTTCCCTAGGAGGAAACCAAGGCTGAAAAGACCTAGGGGATGATTCCTGGGAGCACAGTAGGGCTCTGGAGAACATAAAGTCCAGATTCTGCAATTGCTCCTCAGATCAACTGAGTATCAACTGGCACACCCTCCACCCTTGGATGGGTTCCGGGTGGGATGGGGAAGAGGCTGGTGGTACAGAACCCACCCTGGTCCCAGTCTATATGGCCCCTGCCCTCTTCTGGATGCAGGCTTCTGGAGGAGCAAGTTCGACCCAAATCTCACCCAGAGAGACACTTTTCACCTGGACGAGCAGTTCACGGTGCCGGTGGACATGATGCAAGCCCGCTCATACCCACTGCGCTGGTTCCTGCTGGAGCAGCCTGAGATACAGGTCACCCCTGATTGCCCAGGCCGGGCCTGGGTGCTGGGAGGTGGGGAAGGGAGTGGGCAGTTGTGGAGATGGTGTGTGCCCCATCTTCCTTGCAGTCATGTCGCTGGGGCAGGTGGCTCTGAAAGATCTCGCTGTGCCCCCACTCAGGGGTTCACTCACTGGGCATTTTCTGGGTGTCAGATACTGTTCCAGGCACTGCATGTTTAGTGGAGCACAAGGAAGGCCTGATTCCTGCTCTCAGGAAGGAAGACACACAGTGAACAAGCAAACATAAATCAACAGGATAATTTCAGATATTGGGGGTAGAAGAGTGATCAATTAGTAATTAGGAAAGATATTTTAGCTAGAGTAGTCAGGAAGTATTCTTTGAGGAAGGGGGCACTGAGTTGAGACCCAGGTGATCATTGGTTATGGGGGTTTATTACAAGGACTTGTGGGTTATGAGGCAGCACAGGACCTCAGCACCCCCAGGTCTGAGATGGGACCTGAGCTCTCATGCAGGACTCCTTAGAAGGGAGGATCTGACTGGGATGGATTAGATAGAGTGCTATGCCAAGCTATCTCGAGTGTGGCCTCCCTTGCTTCTATCCTAAACATGGTCCCCTTGGCTTGAGCACTGATCTCTGGGCCAGTCGGCTGGGGCTAAGACGGCGGTGTTGGTTAGTTTCACGAGGCCAGCATGACGCAGACCACAGCCACTCCTGCAGCCCTTCTGAGAGGGGCTGTGGGCGAGGTAGGCCCTTGGAGCAGCATCCCTGTTTCCCTCTAGTTCCCCCGACATGTGGACCGTCTAGTTCACCTCATCAGTTCTCTTTCTGCTGCTCCTTCCCGCCATGCTGTGTCCTGCCCACACTTCCTTCACCCTTTTGTCTCTGTCCCTTGCCCTCCTTGGCCTTCCTCTTGCTCAGGCCCTCTGCTGGCCGCCCAGGTGCTGGCACTCCCCCTCCCACTGCAGGGCTCCTGCTTCCTGGGTGTTCTGCCTGGAACCCAGGGAGTCATAGCCATCGGGGCTCATGGAACCCAGCGGTTTTCACACTCCTTTAGCTGCAGAAACCCTGCTCACATGAAATGTTACTCCAAATCACAGTATACTTACATAGCCAGGCAAGTCACTTTTAGAGGAGAGAGTGGAAAGTGTATACCCCCACTGGCAGCCGCTCCTCTGTGGAACCTAGGGTGACCCAGTCCACTGTACACGTGGAGAAAGTGAGAAGTGGACACGGGATTCCTCACCCCCAGTCACAGGTTAGCTGGTAAGAGATGAGGACAGAGAAAAGCACCACTTACTGCGTGAGCACTTCCTATGTGCAGATACTCTGCTAGAAGCTTTTAAAAGAGTAACTCTTCCCCTTACATGTCAGCCTGCAGTGGGGGCAGGTACTACTACTACACAGGTGAGGACGCGGACACTCAGGGAGGCCCCACACACACCTGCGAAGGATGGAGGTCCATCTGTCTCGTAAGCGATGCTGGCTCAGCCCCCACCTGGGCCTGGGTGCTCTCTGGTCCTCATGTCTCCTTCCCTTGTCTGTAGGTGGCTCATTTCCCCTTTAAGAACAACATGAGCTTTGTGGTCATCGTGCCCACCCACTTTGAGTGGAATGTGTCCCAGGTGCTGGCCAACCTGAGCTGGGACATCCTGCACCAGCCCTTGCTGCGCGAGAGGCCCACCAAGGTCCAGCTGCCTAGGCTGCATCTGAAATACCAGCTGGACCTGGAGGCCACCCTCAGCCAGCTGGGTAAGGAGGGTTGGCATGGGACAGCCCCCCAGGCCAGGCTGGGTGGGATTGCTGAGGAAGAAGCCCCCAGCTGGCAGCTCTGAATCAGAGCTAGAAAAGGCTTAGGGAGGCGAGAGGGTTTGATACGCACTCTTGGACCTTCTGTCATGGGGTCGGGAGGTGTTGCTGAGGGTGCCTAGGGAATGCTCTGCCTAAGACTGAGCATTGCCAAGAATCCTGGGTGGAGAGCCTGGGGTGGCATGTGGGCCTCGCTGGCTTTCCTGCAAGGGGCACTGTGCTAAGCATGGGGAGTGTAAAATGTACAAAGAGCTCGGTCTGATCTGATGGGGTAGACAGATGAGTAATCAGGTACTTATAATTCAGCATAAGTGATAAGACAGAGGGCTTCTCTCCAGCTCACTGGGGAGAAAACTGAAAAGATACCCATCTGGATTTTGAGGAAGGGGATCAGGGAAGGCTTCCTGGAGGAAGTGACATCTAAGCTGATACATGAAGGCTGAATAGGAGTTCACCAGCAATCTGTAGGTTCAAGGTGTTCCCTGGTCAGGATGCCAGACACTCTCCCAGGCAGGTCCAGGCAGCACATGGAATGGAAGGCAGCTCTGACCAGCCATCTCCTGTCCTGGGCAGGCCTGCAGGAGCTGTTCCAGGCCCCTGACCTGAGTGGGATCTCGGACGAGAGCCTGGTGGTATCTAGTGTGCAGCATCAGTCCACACTGGAGCTCAGTGAGGCTGGCGTGGAGGCAGCCGCGGCAACCAGCACCGCCATGTCCCGCATGTCCCTCTCCGCCTTCAGTGTGAACCGCCCCTTTCTCTTCCTCATCCTCGAGGACACCATGAGCCTGCCACTCTTTGTGGGCAGCGTGAGGAACCCCAACCCTGGTGCACAGCCGGAGCGCAAGGAGCAGCAGGACTCCCCTGACAACAGGGATTCCTTCCAGAATGAGAAATCCTTCTCCCTCGAAGACAAGCCCTTTGGCCCTGACTTGAAACTCGCACCCCCCTTGGAGGAGGATTACCCTCAACCTAGCAGCCCCAAGTGAAGGGCTGTGGCCGCCAGTGTCCCGAGTCCCTGCTTGGACCAGCTGCTCAACTCATGTGACTCGATCCAAACAGTTTTGTGGGATGGGGGTGGGGGCCTGGGTGGGCAGTTGGGAGAGGAGAGGAGCCCTTCTCTCCCATCTCCTTTTGGGGAGTTTGGGGTGGGGTGGTGCCAGGAGGAGAGCAGGCATCAGGGAACCATGGGCCTCGATCTCCCATTGTTTCTTCCAAAGGGGCTCAGAGGGTGTTCTTGTTGGGGCTTGGGCAGAGGGGCAGCTGTGAATTCATTTTTGTCAGGAAGCTAGTAGCTTATTCCCTAAGTCAGCTGGGGCACCTCCTCACCTGTTTACCAGAAAGAGGGGGACAGAGGGGAGTAGACACTCTGACTGGGGAGAGAAAAGACAGGCCCCGGGGGTGGCCCGGGGATGCCAAGCACTGTCGTGGGCTAGATGTTGTGGGTTGGCCTCGTCCTGCTCTGTGGATGGAGGTCGAGCCCCCCACACACAACTGCCTGTGTCCTAAGCCATCCAGGGCCCACCAGCCTCCAGCCCACCCTGTCACCTTAGTCTCCCCGCTGGTCCTTGGAGGTACCAACACTGCCAGGACTCCCCTTCCTTACTCTCCCCTCTGCCCAGGGACTCAGGGGCTGAGGGGGTGGGAGGGGCATCAACTCCCTAAGGCTCTTTTGTAAAGTTTTTGTAGTGATTTTTATGCCACCTGAATAAAGAATGAATGGGCCTGTCTGCTTTGATGTCACTCTTCTGGGCATTGGGGGGGAGGATGGGGGGCTGGAGGAAGGCGGGGAGGAGGCCACGGGGCAGACTCACTGAGAAGCAGGCCGGGCCCCGAGGAGCAGCAGCCCTCTGTGCCACGTTTGGCCTCTGGCCACTCGCCAGCCCTTCTCCTGTGCAATCCCTCTTGACTGTGCCAGCCCTCTCCAGAGCCACCGCCATGCCAGCCTGGCTCTGCCCTCAGTCTATTCGTCTCTCTCTATGGGCCTCAGGCAGCCAGCAACAGGAGCGGCTCAGAATAGCGCCAGCCTCCTGGTTTGGGAGAAGAACTGGCAATTAGGGAGCTTGAGGAGTTTCTAATTACATGCCGGCCCCCTCTGCCAGGATCTGGTGCCCGCCAGCCGAGGGCAGGCTGCTGGGAGCACTGGGCTCCAGTTGAAGGCTGTCAGCACCTGAGGATTTGGGGGAAGTCATTGGGGGCACCTTGGTGTAGGGCCGGAGGCAGCATGGGTGTCCTCGTGGGTGGGCCCTTGTCTGTGAATGCAGGGCATCCATGCGGCAGCAATCACCTGCAGCCCTGTAGTGCAGGGTTAAGAGCAAAAGTGCCTGGGATGCAATCTCGTTTCTTTCAAACCAAGTGGGGGGAGCTGGGTAATAAATCAACAAGTGAAATATATGGTGTGTCAGAGAGTGATGAGAGGTCTGATGAGAAATAAAGCTGGGAAGGCCTCCCTGAGCAGGTGACTTTGGAGCAGAGACTAGAAGGAGGTGAAGGTGGCAACACAGGGACATCTTGGGGAAGAGAGTCCTGGGCAGAGGAGCGGGAGCTGCTCCCAGGATTCAGGATGAGCAGGAGATCTGTGGGCCTGGAGTGGAGGGAGTGAGGGGGAAGGAGTAGGAATGAGGCAGAGAGGAACCGGGGACAGATCTCGGAGGGCTTTAGGGCCACTGCAAAGACTGTCATTATTTTAGGAGAGGTAAGAGGTAACTGGAAAGCGAAATCAGCAAGCCCCCGATCTTAATTTTACCTCCTGAGTTTTCTCAGCTCTCTCCTCCTCTCCACTTGGGCTCTAGCCATGGTTTGGATCTAGTCATCACTCCTGAGGATCACTGCTGTCGCCTCCTGCGTTCTCCGGGCCGCTGGTCTGGCTGCCTTCACTGCATCCTCCACCCTGTGAATACTTATCAAGTGCCTCCTGTGCGCCTGGCAGTGCCCCAGGCTCTGGGACTGCAGCAATGAAAAAGTCGACAAGATCCTACTTGCCCAGAGCCTAACTCTGGTGGTAGAGTGGTCCAGACAATAAACAAGTTAAAATTTTGTGTTGTAGTATAGTGTGCCAAGTGCACGAGTCCGAACTGTACCTAAGCGTTATGACTTTTTTCCTTGAACCAAGTACCCCGGTACAACCAACACCCAGATCAAGAAACAGTACTCACTCTCCTCACTTCTGCTAACACACTAGTTTTTCCTGGTTTTGAACTTTCTGTAAAGGAATCATAGTCTGTGCTTTCTTGTGCCCAGCTTCTTTCATTCAACCTCCTGTTTGTGAGATTCATCAGTCGTTGCGGATGGCAATTATTCATTCCCTGGGGAAAGCTTTAATTGAGGGGTGCCACAGTTAGAGGTAAACTCTGGGAGGCTCACTTGGCCGCTGTGTGAAGACTGTAGAGGGACAAATCCGGGAGGAGAGAGGCTGGTTAGCAGGCAAGAAATGTAGATGGCTTGGTCCAGGGTGCTGGCTGTGGAACAGGCAAGAAATGTAGATGGCTTGGTCCAGGGTGCTGGCTGTGGAAATGCAGGTAAGTGGTCCGGCTTCAGCCATATTTTGCAGGTAGACGATATAAAATTTGTGCATAGATTGTACAGGAAATGAGGGAGAGGAAAAGACAAGGATGATGGAGTTCATCCCTCAAATCCTTGGATTTTTGTCTTGAGAAAATGGTTTTTACTGAGATAGGAATCAGAATGAAGCACAGATTTCAGGGCTGATTGGAGATTTCCATTTTGAACATGTTATGACTGGAATGCCACACTAATATAGGGTGACTATAGGTCCCAGTCTGCCTAGGACAGTTTGAGTTATGTCTGTGGTTCCAGCTTAATTCATAGCACCTGCTTTTGCACTTAGAAGGGTTTGGATGATAAATTACCTGTTCCTCGTACTTGCCAGGCATCCAAGTGGCTACATCAAATTGAATATCTTGGTCAGGGCTGGAAGTGTGTATCTGGGAGCACACAGATGCATTTAAAGTCATGGAACTGGTGGAAATCACCTCAGAGGAGATGTCGATGGAGAAGAAAAAGGGTCCCAGGATCAAGGGAGCAAAGAAGATAAAAAAGATGTGGCTTGTGAGGTGGGAGAAAAATAGGAGGGTGTGGAGAGTCAGGGTTTCAAGACGGAGGAACAGTTTGCTTTGCTGCCAAGGGCAGAGATGTCCATTTGGTAGTCAACTCAGAGATCATCTGTGAACTTGGCGAGAGCAGTTTCAAAGGGGGGTGGGTGGGCACAGAAGCAAGTTTGCAGTTGAGGAGGGAAAGGTGCTAAGACAGAGCAGATGCAAGAGTAAATAGCTCTTTCCCACGGGGCTGTGAGGGAGGATGGAGAAATGGACAGTACCTTTAGGGAATGTGTCAATAAAGGAAGTGTCTTTAAAGACGGGAGTGAGAGAGGATGTTTAAAGGCTTTGGATTGGTCCTTCAGAGAGGGATACATTGATTATGCAGGAGAGGGGCTACCTGCAGGAGCAAAGTCCTTGAAGAACCTCCTTTGGCAGGAGTGGGACACACTACTTTCACACTAATTGGAGGAAAGAGAAATCTTTCTTAACAAGTTATTATAAAATAATTAGGACATACTAAAAGGTATAGAAAATTGCATAATGCCATTGTCCAGCTTAAAAATTAGTCTCAACATAGTGATAACCCTGCATTCCCTTCCCCACTCCTTTCCCCACCCCCACAACTGTCATCCTGAATTTGGTATTTATCATTTTCATGCATCTCTTTTACTTTCACCACATGAGTTTTTAACCCCTGAGTGGTATATAGTATCAGTGTGTGTATGTTTAAGCTTTCCATAAATGTATCATCTGTTTGTCTTCTCCTGCAACATGGTTATCACTCAACCTTGTGAGATGAATCTGTGTTGGTGTAAGTGGCTTCCCTTCTTCCCTTCAGTATTTCTCACAGCTTTGGCTTTGCTTTTTCACACTTTATCTAGTCTCCTGTCCATGGATATGTAGGGAGCTTCCTTTTTTTTTTTTTTGCCACTACACAGTGCTGCTATAATATTCTTGTTACCTTCTGTGCACATATGCAATCTGTTTGGGTCACTTGCTTAGGAGTGGAATTGCTGAGCTGTGGGTTTGGGTTTTCCATCTTTACTGCCATGGCTGCCACAGACAGTTATGCACAACTTTACCATTTGTTGCCAGATTGTTCTTCAAAGTGGTTGTATCAGTTTACATTCTCATCAGCAGGGCCTAAGAGATCCTGGTTGTCCACATCTTCACGAACACTTGATGCTGTCAGATGTCTAAGTTTTGCCCATGAGTGCGAAATCTGCTCATCAAATTATGGCTTTAATTTGCATTCCTCCTGATTACTGGGGAGGATAAAACATCTTTTCGTAAGTTTACTGGCCACTTACAATTAATCTGTGAATTATCTGGGCCTATTTTTCTGCTAAATTGTTTTTCTTTCTTTTTTTTTAATTGATTTGTAGTTCTTTCTGTGTTACAGTAAGTAATCTTTTTTATCAGTTATCTGTGTTATAAATATTGTCTCTTAGTGTGAGGTTTGTCTTTTCATTTTGTTTTATGGTATCTTTCCATGAAAACAAGTTTTTATTTCAGTGCCAGATTTGTCAGTCTTTTATAATTTGTGCTTCTTTTTGGTGTCCTGTCTAAAAAAATTTTTCCTACTCAGAGATCACAAAGGAATGCATCTATACATTTTTCTAAAACACTTACAATTTATCCTGTTGTATATATGTGTTTGGATTTGCTTCTTAAACCATTAAAATGATCTCTGAAAGGATACACAGGAAAGAGATTAACATCAGCCATCTTCAGGGAGTGGAATCAGGTGGCCTGGAGATCAGAGTGAAAGGAAGATTCACTGCATATTTTCAGTTGCTTTTGAGTTTTGCACCATGTGAACAAAACACCTATTCAAAAATAAATGGATAACTTAAGTAAAAAGTCATTGAAAAGGGTCTGCAAATTGTTTTCCAGAAACACTTAAATCTCGAATGCATCTTTAGTTAATTTTTGTATATGGTGTGAGATAGGGATCCAATTTTAAATTGTTCACATGGATAGTCATGCCTTCCCACCTTTCTATCCTTAGCTCATTCTTATTCACCTTTCAAGGCTTAGCTTAGATTCGTATATTCCAACTGTGCTGCCATGAGACCCTACAGGTCAGTGCTGTCCAATAGAAACACAATGCAAATTGCACACGTAACTTAAGATTTTCTAGCAGCTCTATGAAAAAAGAAATAGGTGAAATTAATTTTAATAGTATATTTTAGTTAACCCAATATATGTAATCAGGGTCAAAATTATTGAGATAGCTTACATTGTTTTTCACACTATTCAAAATCTGGTGTGTATTTTACACTTACAGCAGATCACAGCTCAGACTGGCCTCAAGTGCTCCGTGGCTGCACGTTGCTAATGGCTGTTGTAAAGGATGGAGTAGTTGTAGAGACTGCTGTCAAAGAATGTGCCGTGTTGTACTGGAAGGATCTGGGATCTTTTCTCATATCAGCCTCTGTTATAAGCCAGTAAGCTTCTGGAGGGTGGGCACTGAGTCTTCACCATCTTTGTACTCCTTCTCTGCCGAGTACCTAGTGGGTGCCTTGAGTACAGGTCCTCAATTTATGGTTGAAAGGACTGAACTCTGACTGTTGACACACTCTTCCTTACATAAAGCTGAATCTGGTGCATTGGAAATTTCTACCCAGACGCTCTAGCTCTGCTCCCTGGAGCCTCACATGAGGTGAGGT